TTGCCTCCTCATCCGTGGAGCCCGTGCAGACCGAGGTCCTCACGATCTTCCCCCGGTCGAAAACTCGCTCTCCAAACGTTTCCCTTTGTTCGAAACCATCCTCGGAACTATGTATCCCATCCACGAGTGCCGCGTCCGCGTCGACGGCGGCGGCCGGCACACCCAAATCGACTTTCTCGTCGCCTTCCAGGAGAGGCCCGACCTGCCCCCGAACGCAGCCATATCTCGTCTTGTGCCCCACGCATCGGTCTGCGCCGAGATCGTCGTCATGCGCTCCGGCGCGCGTTACCTCGTTCTCGACATGGGCGGGCATGGGCCTTCCGAGGCGGCCAAACGAGCTGTTCGCAAGTGAGTACCCCAGTCCATGTGTTCAACGCCGTCCCGACGACGTCCCGCTAACTTGATGCGCCGCAGGTTCATCCTTCAATATGTCGCTCATCATGCACAATATCGCGGGAAACGAAGGGTCCCTCCGCTACCCACCGCCATCGGCTTCGATTGACCACGTCGCCTCCTGCCGTCTTCTTCGTATCTTGGTTTAGAGTCTAGCAACTGTATCTCTGTACCGCCCGCCGGGCCTCAATTTAATGCCGCCTCGTCCTTGCCTCCTCGTCTCCTCCTCTTCAACGAGTTCCTGCGATGCTCCTCGCCGGACACCCCCGGCGCATCTTCGCCCCGTCAGCCAGCCGTCCCCGCCCCGTCAGTTCGTTCTGGGTGAGTGCATGTTACTTGACTAGAAGTAACGTCCTTCATCTCAAGTAGGCACGCCCTCACGACCTTTCTCTTTTGAGTACGCTAACCTCTTTTGCAGGAACTCTCTCATTGGGTGGGTCTCCACCGTTTTCAATCGGTGGACCGTTCTGCTCTGCCATCTGGTCGACACTTCGGGATAGACCGTTACGTGCCTTTCTCGTTTGCTGTCAGCGTCTTCTGTCTTCCATCGTCTCACCCTAACGGCTTCAGACTGCCACCGCTCTGCTATACTGTGCTCGAGATTGATGAGCAACTCACTTTCGGGCGTACACCCCCGATCTAACATGGATAAGCACGCAATGTATCTCGATAAGAGCGAGTAGGTGAAGATGGGCTACTGGGCTGCCGGGCGGGATGACGGAGCGATGCAGAGGGTCCTGGAGAGGTTGTGCAGGGTTCTCAAACGAGGCAGTCAGAGTCAAACACAACCCAGGTGAGCTAAGATCCCAGTATGCTATGCTCTGTACCTCGCGTTCTCGTGTCTGACCACTTAAGACATTGAAGTAGTGCGGATCTGCAGAAGCTCCACAACGACAGCCTCCGCTCCGTAGCAGTCTTGCACCGCCACTCCTACACGTACCCCGAATACACACGCTCGGCTCCGCGCACGTCTCCGCGTCGTCGCAGCTGTCCACGACCAAGACGGTCCCGCGCGGCAGGTCCCCGCCCGTGAACGCACTTCGACTCCGTGCGGAAGGCTTGGTGGACTTGGCTCCAACGGGGGCTAATACATCATATCAACATTCCCCCCCGTGTTCGGTGGCGCACCGTCGCCCTTGAGCCATGCCCAGGCAGCCTCAAGCTCGGCCTGCTCAACAAACTCAACATCGGACCCGTACCTACGACCTGGCGCGCTTTTTCAGTGCTGTGTGCGACGAGGACCGCGATATCGTGTTGCTCGTGGACGAGCACACCGTAGAGAAGGCGGAAGCGAGAGTTCTGTGGGTGGAGGAGCACCGGGTGCGCAGCGATGCTCCTATTGTTAGCGGACATCGACACCGCACTGTCGCCCGTTACAGTACATCCGCTGGCCGAGGCCGCGCCAGACGTACAAATGGAGATGGTGTCGAAGAACTCGTACGCGCGCGTACAGCGGGCTCTCAGCCGGAAGTGAGTGGGCGAGCAGCGCTGGCAGCGATGCACTGAGCAGGATTTCCCAGCGATTCTCCGTGAACTGCGCAAGGGGCGATGGCCCACTGACCATTGCAAGAAGGTGAGCCGCTCTCGGTCCTGGGAGCGTTCGTGATGATGGTGCTGAAGCAGGTACGTGGCATAGTATGGCATGTATACGTACCCAGTACTATCCGCTCATTCCGACCTCAGGCTCGCTCGACCTTGAACTCCCGCTTCTTCAATAGTGAGTGGTATGATAGCGTCAGCGTCATGGTCTGATATCGCACATCAAGACCTTCGCCGGCGGTATCCTGTTGCAAGACGAGCGCTTCCTGCAGGCAGTCAGCAGCCTGTCCGCATACCAAGCTCATTCAATCTACCCGCGAGCGTATATACACACGCATACACTCCAGAACGTAACACAACGAGTGTCTACAGCTCTGATTCGCCCTCTGCCTTGTGCATCAGCATCATTAAAGCCCGAACGCATGCTTTGACCATGATTTGTTCCTGCCATTTTCCAAGTCAATATATCATTCCTGCTGATGATATGCTGAGTAGATTGTTCATACCTCCTCCAAATCTTCCAAGCGAGATTGGATACCGGCAGCAGCATCCAGACCCTCCAAAAACTGCACCGCGTTCACAGTGTCGCCGTTCGACTTGCGCATCAAGACCGGACCCCCCTCGCTCTTGATGAGTAAAAGCTATCTCTTTATGAGAGCCGGTTGCTACAAATCACTAGAATGACACTCACCTCTATATCTCCGAGGGCATCATCCTGCTCCCAGCCCTCGACTAGGGCGCTCTTGTACAATGCTCGCAGCTCCACCAAAGCACAAGTGCGCTCTGCTGACGTCGCCCCATTCAGGGATGCCGTCACCCTGGAAGCCTTACGCTGCATGCGAGTCCGCTTCAAGCGAACACTTCGCAGACGCTCTATCAGAGGGGTGATTGCGAGCTTGTGGAGGCGGTTGCGCTCTTGAGTCTTGAGGGGCGCCAAGACTTCCTCCAATCGGTCCTGCATCGGATGCGATGTTGGAGTGTGCCAGGGTGCGTATATGTTCCACGTACCTCGTCCAATGCTATGTCCAAAATCTCGTCCACACTTTGCTGAAAGCTCTTTCGCAGGCGCCGCGCTTGTTGCTTGACCGTGGACATAAGACTTTCGATGAAGGCGATACGTTCCGCGCAGGCGGAGTGAATGTCGGGTGGCAGCTGCGTTCCCCTATGCTCATAGTACTCGCGTGCCTGTTTGTTATAAGTTTTGATAATTGACTAGCTGCTGAGCGAGGCGGCTTACCTCCTGGAACTCTTCGGAGAGGTAGCGATTCGACTTCCTAGCACGCCGGACGTCATGGCCTAATGTCGCCAATTCCCCTTCCTCCCTGATTGTCCTTGTTTCACGTCGAATCTCAACTAGAGCGCGCCTACGTATGTCGGATCCATTCTTCTTGACAATAGCCAGCACAGTCTTACGCCAGGATCTCTCGTCTTCACCGCTGTCCAAGCTCGCGAAGTAGCTGTCCTGTATTATCAGTGCGCGATCCCTTGGTCTGCAATTGATGCTTACGATAATAGCTCCCAATTTCCCTCATCACAGATCCTGTGAACCTCCTCGTTTAACTTCTGGATGTGTTCTTGAGTCGGTTCGTTAGTGGCGCCTGCCATGATTAACAGAGGTTGTATCTGCGTATGTCTGCGTGAAACAGGAGGATATATACTGTCATCCGCGGCCCAAGGCCTTTGCGGTAGGTATGCCTACAAACGCTTTACAAAATGAGGGATGTTAATGTGCATACACTCTTGATTGCTGATAGTCCTGTTTCCTTTTAGTCTTTGACCACTTCGCGAGGAAGTTATAACTTCAATCTAGTTTGGAAGTTTTGAATGCGGATGCGGATACAAACCATATCGTCATCCTCTCTTTGGACAGTCGCTGATCAGGGTCTTGGTTAACGCCGTTTTCCCGCCAAGATGTTTGCCCTTCACAGAAAGCTGATTATAATAGATGAATCAACGATGCAGAGCGCTGACGTGAACACGGATGTCACCACCTTCGGATTGATATGGGAAGGCGAGAAGCTTCGCGCGCAAATACTCAAGATCCCGAACCGCGACATCACTACCAGAACACTCCCGCGCCGATGACATGCACCCTCCGTGCTAACTTAATATATCCGCCTTAACCAGGCACATCTACTGACAACACCACCGCCGAGGCCAAAACGCGCCACCAGAGAAAGAGGTCGCATGCGCGACGACGCGACGAGAGCGGATGTGTCGCTACTTGCGAAATGCATACCACCACGAGCAAACAGGGCCGCGGCGACTAGAGACGAGGCCAAGCCACCAAAGAGACGGAGGCCACCAAAGAGACGGAGTCGCCAAAGGTAACGTGTCCCCAAATAGGACGTTCTATGAGACAAAGCGCCGCAAGAGAAGGATGCGTTACGAGAGATCAGCTCACTGCGTCAGTGAAACCAGGAGTGCAGCAGACTGCTAACCTTCGATGTTGGATGTCAGGAATTGATGCCGCTGTACGAATGTCATGAGGATGCGTGGTGTAGTCGTTTGATAGTGAGAACGAATTCATTGGATGTCTTCAGAGCTACTACGCGATGACGTGTGCGAGATTTCATGACTCTGATGGCTGTGACCTGGGTAAGGGGACTTCGCGGAAGCTTTGCAAAGCGCAATTTAGGCATGGGGCATAGATCGTAATGCTGTACCTTCCGGGCAATGCCTGAGTCGATCTCGACGCGTTGAGGGTATCCCCACAAGGGCAACGCAGAGGAGACATGCGGGTGGAAAGGAAAAGGTTTTCGTAGTACGCCGCAAATCAGGCTATGGTCACCTTATGGTGGACAGGTGTGCGCCGCCGAGAGGTTGATGAGCCCGTGATTATGGTGCTCTCTGAAGGACTCACCGGATCCTGGTCGACTGCTTACGTACCCTGAGCTGGAGGAAGTCTTAGCGCAGGGTTTTGGTTCCTATGAACGCTGCTTAAGCTGTAGCCGCTATGGTGGGAGAGGTAATCATCGAATGGAATGAGTCTCCCCATGGCTTATAGCAAAGGGGCTGGCGATACTCGCGTCGGAGGCAACGCTCGTTGTAAGTGTCGAGTCGCCAAGCAGGTTCGCAAGGATGAACGTAGAGAGTGGGTCGCTGGTGAACGCTGAACCAGTGAACGAGCCTTCAAAAGCTTGAAGCGTAATGATATGGCGATAATATATAGGATCGCCCACGGGCGCTTGACATCGGAGATAGCCGGAGACTCAAATTACATGTAGTGACCAGTGTCAAGTTGAGGCCAGTGGCGCGTCTGCCGCATACTACTACTACTACACTAGTACTGCCTACTAGCTGGTACTACCTCCTCCGCTTTATTCTGGAAAGCTGCTCTTCACGCTCGATTATTGGCATTCGATGCAGAATCACGAGACTTCTACTGACTACCTGCCTCTCCGCACCATCGGAATATTCAAAGACTCAATTAACTGCTTACAGTTCAGCCCCGCGGGACAGTGGCTTGCGGCCGGTGGCGACGACGGTAGTCTCACTATACTTAATCGGGAAGATGAGTTCATGGAGGAAGCCACCATCCACTCGCATGTCCCCATTACGGCTCTCTGTTGGCATCCGACGGAGGCGTCCACTCTCTTTGTCGGATATGGCAACGGCACTATATTGATGTACCGTCTCAAGAAGGTCGCCTCTCTCTAGTCGTCGAAACTATGGTCCACAATGCTTATGATACCTGTCTCTCGCAGGACGTTCTCATGGGAGTACGACTTGATACGGACCTGGCAGGCCCGGTTGAAGCCCTCGAATATGATCTCGCAGGCGACACACTAGCCGCTGCTATCGGTAATGATGTCGCGCTACTCATCCGGATGTCTGATGGTGAGCATTTTATATGGCGGTATGTGGCGATTTGCAGCTCACCAAATTCTCAGTTACCTTCGGTGTTCGAGGCCTGCCTGCTCCGGTCCACGACGAGATTGATCGCGAGCTCTCGCCGTGCTCTCTACATTTCATCGAAAACGGGCGGGCACTCATTGGATCGTACGTCTACGCCGGGATGATGTGAGCACTTCTCCGATTTTTCCGAGGCGCACTTCCGACCAGGTCGCAGCTGCTGGGACGTCGAAACATGCACCATCAAGTGGCGCATACCCGCGGAAACGCGTATGTGAGTCAATATTCATTTGTCAAACGATGGTGCGGCTAATCTCGGGTTAGTGGACGATCAGCGTTGTCGCCCGACCACAGGTCCATAGTGGTTTGCAATCTAGTTGATGGCTTCGACCGCTACAGGATTGATCACCAGAGAAGAGTGCAGCAATATAGCGTCCGACTCGGCGAGAATATCCCTCTACCAGTCTGCTTCATTCACGACGGCGACGCGCTTCTATTTGGCAGCGCATGTGGAGACGTTAGCATTGTCGACGAGGACGACGCGTCCCTTATTCAAGTTTTACATCATCCAGGTTTGTTGGTCTTAGGTAACCCCGTCAACACTACCACTAATATTTGCTCAGGCGAGGAGATTGTGCAAGCGGTCGTAAGATTCCCCGCTACATTCCATATCACGTCTTACTTATAATCTGCGTTGCACAGGCTTATATCGTGGTCGATGGTAATGTGTCGTACATCGCGACGGGAACCTCAGAACGTGGCAAAGAGACGAAGATCAGGATATGGGCCAAGAATCCAGGTGCGCACATGATCTCTCTAGACGATCAAGTGCACTTATGATGGCCAACATAGCTTTCAGTCGGATCGAGTCTCCGTCTTCCGGGGCAACCTCTGAAGATGTACAAACTGCGACAACAGTAGCCTCCAGCCAGATGGAATTCTCGCCGCTCAGGGCAACCTCTGAAGATCTCCGAGATCCAGAAGACGATTTTGAATGTGCCGACCCCGAGTCTAGTGTGTCTGCGGTGGCTCCCGGCAATCCTAATGCGATATATGGTACTCTTGTCGATCGCACAGTGCACTCTACGGCAAGGTCTAGATCAACATGTGCTCCAAGATATGCCTTTGTCGTGGGCTCCCTCATTATAATGTTCCTTGCATATGACGCCGGTGAGTACGTCTCATACAAACCATCACTGTTGAGGTCTCAATATCAATCTCAGCGCATCTGTCGTATCCACTGGTGCGCGGATTAGGTGATAGGGTATGTCGTAATGTCTTATTTGAAATATTCAGCTTATGATTATGATACAGGACCCAGCTGGCGAGGTTGGCATTCCGGCACGACCTCGATCCATCGTTGTCGAGGTCATCTTGTTCGTCGTTCGCGCGCTGGTCTGGATGTTTCCCGGCCTAGAGCAGTTTGTCATGGACGTGATTTACTCGGTATACTCTGCAGTAGGACAATAGTTTCCCATTCAACGATCAATGGAATGTACATACAGCCTCAGGTCCCGGCTGATCGAAATTGAAACAGTTGGAGTTGTCCACCCCTTTGGTTGCTCGTTCATGGGCCGGCTCTTCCCGGCCGGGCCGGTGGCGCATGGGGGACATATTGGCGTTTGGCCTCCTTGACCCGGCGCATTTGCTTTGGAAGTCTCTTCTACTCCTGCTCAGTCAAATGTGTCTTTCGCTACGCCCACTTATTTATATGGCGCATCATGGACTGGATTGAAGGAAGAGCTGTCTTGTTCACCCCCAACTCCTCCCACCCCGAAGACTTATCGAGACCATCCCTACAAGGTATTTCGCTCCTCATGGCTCGCCGCAATCGTGCCATTAGCGTGAACTTGGCAAGTCCGTCCGATGATGACTTCCGGAGGCAATGGAAGGTGCGCCTGGTTGTCCGTGCTGGTGGTAGTGGCTACTTAACTTCCATATCGTCCGGGCAGAAACGTCATCTCAATCGGAGGCGGTTCTCAATCAGGCTTCGAAGCGAGGTGGCTCAGTCGAAGGGCACGCATACGAGCACAGGGTCACCCGCAAGGTAAGGCACCTCCTTGTCACACTCGTTCATGCTCTGACTTCCAACGCATGGTATTAGAGATATGGGCAGCCCTGCGGACGGCGCCGATGCACACAAGACAGGCAACGATACTTCCGAGCCCATCGATGAAACGGGAGACGCTTCCATCGTTCGGAGTGAGAGAGTCGCGGCCTTCCAAACACCAGCTCGCCGGGATCCTGGAGTAATTTCATTAACGGTACGTCCATCTGAGTGATGTATCTTATTCATATGACCTCATCTTTTCCTTCATCCTGGCACCTGCAACGACGTGGACTGCATCATCGAGTGTATACAGCACCCCCTTCGATCCCCCTCGCCCACAGAGATACTTGCCCGCTCGCCCTCGCCAGCTGTAGGGATGCTGGTCAAGGCTTCGTGGCCTGGTCTTCCCTGGTCTTCCGACTCGTTCCCGCCGAGTAATGAAGGCCGCCGCGCGTCACATTGGATCATGGATGAAGAGCATCACGACTGCGACGGGCATGGCGTGTCCGCCGAGTCGCAGCTTGATTCACCTCCCCTCCCTGCGGACGCGGCGATTTCTCCCGAACCTGTGCAGGAAGCCGCTCCATTGTCATCCGTCCCGACATCTTCTTCCGCTTTGCAACACTCGGGTCTTCCCCCAGAATCGCATCCCCCTATACCTGGTCGCAGCTCATTCTCGCATGCGGCAGAATCTACTGCATGGTTCAACCGTCCTGAAGACGCGCCCTTGCTCCGTTCATCGCAAGAGACGATTGGGCCGATCGATGCCCTACCCCAGCCCCTACCCCTACCCCAGCCCCTACCCCTACTCCAGCCCCTACCCCTACCCCAGCCCCAGCCCCTATCCATACCCATACCCATACCCTCCATTCCCCTCCGCCCGAATACTCCAAGCTCCACTTTGCTTCCGAGCGGTTCTACCTTGCCCTTTACTCCTACGCATCCGTCACCCTCTCTCACCCCCTTCACGAATCGGACCCATCGGACGCGGACATCCCCACGGCCCCTCCGCTTCGTCATCGAGACGGTCCCGCCCTCCGTGGAAGTCTCGAACGTCAGGCGTGATCACAACCTCGCGTCCACGGACGAGGCGATGTCATCAAACGAGACGCAGACATTGGGTGCCACATTACCCTTGTCTATGCACACGGGGACAGTTCCTGCTTCTCCCACCATCGCTGGTATAGGACAGGCTAGCACCGGCGCGCAGCTTGAGAGCCACAGTCGCTCCCCACGGCGTCCCGTCGGCTGTGCCGACAATGAGGGAGAAACCGCTGATTCGATGTCAGCTCAACCTCCCGCATGCGCCTCCACCCGCACCACGACTGACGATACCAATCTTGCGCGCTGCTCGTCATCCGGCACATATTACAGCACTGAGCGAGCTTTTGGGGGTCCATCCGGCGAGCCCGCTTCGCAGGATCTTGTAACTTCGTCGGTACCCGCATTGATCGCGTCCTCGCCACCACCAGAAAATTCGTCTACTTCGGGTGTTTCCCCGCCACGGTCACCGACTGCTTTGATTCCTATCAGGGACCAGCGGCCTTTTCGTGCAGGAACACAAGACGGTTACACGCGTTGGCAGCACACATGGGCACCGTATGCGATAACACACCCTCTCGATGTGGTGGGAGCGTTGGGAGACCTGTTTCTCCATACTCACACCGTGACCGGGAACGTCCAAAGCTGGCTTTGGCGAGATGGGTGGCAGGCTGCTACGGAGGGTGACACGCATCCTCTACTACACGACCGCGTCCTTTGGTTTCGTGAAAAGGCGGAGCCGAGCTGGGTCACTAGGCATACGTTCAGTACTTACAGGAGCCGCAAACGCAAAGACGAGAAGCAAGCACCGGACGCATCCTGAGGTCAGTAATGCGTCTTCTGCCTACAGTGCGTATCGCTAACGCGTTTTGCGAGATTAGTCGGCATGACGGAATGCAAGACGCATGGCATCGCTCGCGGTCTCTGACGTACTCTACCGGTATCGTACTACACGTCATCTCTGTACTCCTCATTAGTATCACCCGTATCAATATCTCCTGTGTCCACGAAGCGGAGCATCTGGTGCTCAATGTCAGCGTGGGATATAGGGGCGCCGTATGAGACTCACCCTATCCAGTGGTAGGATATGTCTACATGCGCTCGCGATGTCGGCGACTTCGACCTTTGTGTGGGCGACGTGACAGACGACGTCGCAAGGTCGGATAAGACATCTGTCTTCTTCAGCATCATAGACTAATCTACCACCAGCGACTGGAAATTGGCGGAAGAGGTCGTGGACAGCGTCTTCCGGCGTGAGCTCGCGATATCTGCGGACCAGGAGGAAGAGCTCCGTACGTGTGCCGTCGGATGTCGGTCTGGAATGGGAGAATATGTTGACTATGCAGCCGACGCAGGGCGATGCGAAGGTCGGTAGAGTGAAGAGGATGTTGCTGTCTCGAGAGGAGGAATGGGCGACGTGGTAGAATATTCCACGAATGAAGGTCTTTAGGTAGAGCTGAGCCGAGTGAGGGAGCCGCAGACTGCCCGAGGGTGGAGGATTGTGCGCACTGTTGACGTAAGGCGTAGAGACTGATTCGGCGTTGAGTTTCATGAGTAGCGCGATATATGTCGCATCGTCCAGGCGGCTGAGACGCAGGGTTGGGTCCGGCGGCGGCAACACAGCAGCGCTCGATTGCACGCCACCGCGTAGTATGGCGTCCAGTCTGAGGCCACGTTTGTCTTCACCTGACTTCCGGTCTAGCGCCTGGAGGAACTCTTGAAGAAAGGGGCGGAGCTGACTGTCCTGGAGAAGGGGACGAAGGTTGGAAGCTCTGCAGCTCGTTTTCATGAATGTAGCCTCAAGCTCCCCTGCGAGATCAATGGTGAGTGAGGTTGTCGCCGGGAGGGGGAAATGCTCAGTACCGAATGTGAGATTGGTGTTGATGCTCTGGAGCATGTAGTTATACCTTTCGAAAGCAAACGACCTCCATGAATGCACCGGCGCAAACAAGCGCATGAAGTCGGGGAGATGCAGCGCATAGTGATGATTCGGCTTGATCGTCGCCTCCTTGTAGAGCCGTTTCATGACCACCAAGTAATGTCGCATGTACTCCTCATATAAGCGTATGTGCTCTGGCGTTATCTCCAAGAGGCTTGCGATGACAACTGCGGAGACGAGGTCCATGAAGTTGCGAAGCATCTCCAATTTCCTACCTCCCTGCGGGCTCCAAAGTGCTGTTAGGGCCACGGGCAGTACCACCGTACAAGTTGTGTGCCACTGCGCTGCGCTCAGTTTTCCTTGCTGCGTCGTACCAAATCCGTTGGGAGCAGGGCTGACCCAGCTTGGGAGTTCCATGTTACTCCTGACCGAACGGAAGGCTTCGAGCGCCTGCTGGCCGAGAGCATGTGTGGATCGGTTCCCTGCGTCGAGTGGCCCGTTGGCCTGGACGTCTGGAACGTCGGTCTAAAATATATACATCGTTGTCAACAATTTTCTTATGTAGTATATACCATCTTACCGTTGTAGAGTGCCCGGGAGGTACAGACGCGGGCATTCCACTTGATGAGGGCATCTATGCGTAACCGTTGTAAGATAAAGGGCGTACTACATAAGGGCGAAATATATACTCACGGCACCTCGAGATTTCCAGAGTACATCGATAAGGTCCGCTTGCGAGGGTTTGTCTGGGAACCCTAGACCGAGCTGCTCACAGAGTCCGCTGAGAACGGCCTTCTTATAATTTTTGAGCGTAGACGGCTTCTTCGCATTGCCCAAACTTGCTTTGGCTTTCTCGATTAATACTTGTAGCAGCTCGTTCTTTCCTGGTGCCGTGTCGCCTTGTTGCGCACCAGGCACGGACGGTGCGCGATCTTGTGATGGCAGATGCGCGGGAGCAGGTTGGCGCTGCGGAAGACCTTGCCTTTTCCTCTGATAACCGTACGACGTCAACACATACACTCGTTGTCGCAAGACATTTCCGACATACCCATTTGTCTAGCTCTTTTGCCAGCTGTTTGATCGCACCAGCACGTCTCAGCTCACGCTGATCGCACAAATGCCATAGCACCGCCTTCTTGCACTTCATGAGTTCTGCCAAAGTTCCGTGGTGAAGCGCGTGGAGGCCCTTCTGCCAGTCAGCAGAAGATGGAAACTGGGGTGGTTTCTTCGTTGGATGAGCAGTAGCGTCGCCGTCATCCAGGTCCACGCTGATGCCCCAGATGTCGCGACAATGTGTCTGGAGAAGACCGAGATATAGGTTGTGCATCGAATCGACCACGGTGAAATGGATAGGATCCCAGTAAGGAAGGCGGAGCAGCTCCGACCATCGAATTCCATGACACTCGAAGAGGTCCTCTTGCTCCAGGGCCGTAGGCGCGTTACGCCATGCTTCAGCGCGAGCCCTGTGCTCGTGAATCTCCCGCGGAGGCCATGTCAACGGGTCGAAGTTCTCGATCTCGTCGAGCCGCAGATAGCAGAAACTGCAGAAGAAGGTGGAGGAGTGAGATCCCAGTCCGATGGTCTGGCGTGCCGCAAGAATGTCGCAAACGAGAGGGATGAGCGCGGCTCGGAAAAGGCGTCCGAAGCGGTATTTCCAAGTGCGAGAGAACCGAACGCCGGATGTCCAGAATTGCAGAAGATCATCGACGAGAAGGCGGAGGAAGTGGTTGATCTGGGTCAGCGAAGGCTTCGTGGGGCCAGGTATCACGCCAACGAGATACATGTTCTCGGGTAGATATCGCAGATGCGGGGGGAGGTTAAGGCAGACCATGTAGATCGCAGTACTTGTGACCTTTTGCTTCGCCGTCTTTGACTGGAAGGGGTTGAATCCGTCCATGGCTAAACTGAAGACCAGTCTCGTCTCGTCCTGCGGCGCGTCGATGAAGAGTTTGCGACCGTCAGGACCCAGGAAGGAGCGGATGGCGGCTCCATCCCAGAAGTCTGCGGCTACGGTTGGTGGGTTTTTGGAAAGGATCTTCTGGAGGTCGGGGATCTGGAGCAAGTCCTCTATACCCTCCCTGTGCACCAGACGAGCGAGCCAATGAGCCATGGGTTGATGGAGATAGTCCCTTTTGGAAGAGGTGTGAAAACCCCCTCGAATCTGTCGTGTTCGGAATAGCTCGCAGCCGCATGGGGTGCTCCCGGGAGCAGTGTCGACGCAAGTCTTCGGTGAGGTGTTTGGGGAATAGATGGCGAAGCAATCGGGGCAACAGACATAGGTGTCCAAGACGGGTTCCAGCTTGTAGCGGCGCATGACGGTACGAGGATCGCGAGCGATGTCGGCAAGGAGGAGATTATCTTGAGTAGTGAGGGTGTCTGCATTTCGAGCATACTTCAGGGTGATGGCGACGATGGCTCGAAGCCCAGCGATGAGAACTTCCGTGGCGCGGCGTGATAGACCTTCCAGCAGATACATGACCAGGGCGACGATAGAAACAGAGTGGATTACGACCTCCCTCAACGACCACATGCTGATGCTGGACATGAACAAGTCATCTAAAAGAAACGCAAATGGAAGTTAATTGACTATACAGTGAGGCCAAGTAGTGACAATCATACCTGTGTTGATCTCATGGGCTTGGTGCTGTACTGGAGGTATGGAACTCCGCTGCCTATACCACTCATCCTCCTTCAACGTCTCAAGGCTTGCGAGATCGCAAGTGACGTCATTGAGCATCTTCTGTCGTAGCTGTTGAACTTCCTCGTTTGGCACAGGTGGGGGCGTGGTCAAAAGGCCGAGCGCATGAACGAGCTGGTCCTCGAAGTTGAGGACTCTGGTGTTGTGATCGTCATGGGGATCGAGCGCATGAACGCCAGAGTTGGCAGAGATAATGGGCTCGCGAAAGGTCCGCCGGACGTACTCCCCTTCAATCCGTGGATCGCGAATAAAAACGAGGGATTGACCGATCAGAGGAAGGGAAAGACGGATGTCTCTGAGGGACCGGTGCACATCGCGGAGATTGCGCAAGTCGTAAGCCAAGAGCTGCTGATCCCCGTCGTCCGCTGAAAACCCCATGGTTCGCTGCGGAGGCTCCTCAGGATTCTGGTACCGGCCGCTGTGTGGAGGGTGCTGCGGATGGCTTCTGGGGGACGAGTTGTCATGATTTGACGGAGTAGACTTGGGAATCGCTGTTGAGCTCCTCGAGAGAGGGTCTAGTGTAAGCTCAGTGACTGCACGCTCCATTTCGGCCATCGTCTGCTGTGTCCGCAAAGTCTGCCCGACCAATTCTTCATATTCATGATCTTGCTTCCGGCGTCGGCGCGTCGAGTCGCTGACCTTGGTTCGACCACGACCACGACCGCGACCACGACCTTGACCTTGACCTTGACCTTGACCTTGACCTTGACCTTGACCATGGCTTGATTGACCCGGGCGTTCTTGCTCAGATGGAGAGGACATGGGTTGCAATTGAGGGAAGAGGGAACACGACAAGGGAGAGCGGGAAGAGACCTAATACTTCGGGACCAAACAAGTACGTTGAGATGCTCCACCGTCTACGGAGTCGCAGGAGAGCAGAGCAAAGCGGGGCCTCAAGATAGGGGGATTTGGCATGCACAAGTGCAGGACGGTGACGGGCTTCCTAGAGGATGAGGCAGATCAGTAGATGGGAGAGATCACCGGACGGAGCCGCCTATGCGGAGACTCGGTCCGCTAGATGCTACGGCTCATATTCACATGCAAGAGGTTGGCACGCCGGGTCCCGCGGATGGCCGGAACAAACATACATGCATTGATTACGAGTGCTAGGACGGTTGTGGAGTGTGCATATGCTCGAGCGCTCACCACTGACTGACCAGCGCGGTCGCCAACGGACCCTCTGGATGACGTCCTGTCAAATGCGGTGTCAGTGAGCAAGACGGAACACGGTAACTGCACCATCGCTAATCGATGTGCGGAAATATGAGCGTTATTGTCATTTTCGAGCGAGGGGAAGACGGGCGGGAGGCGGACGCGTTGGCGGGCGAAGACGGGCGGGAAGAGGAAGCGGAGGCGGGAGCAGACGGGCCAGACCCGGACCCGGACCCGGACGCAGACGCAGACGTCGATGTCCCGTAGACATAGACCCCGACATCTGGTGTGCTCTGGGGGTTGGTCTTGCTGGAGGACCGTTCACCGCGTCGTGCCATGCGACTGATAAGGGACGGCTGCGACGGGGATGCGCCCTGCAACGAGCGATCAGCACCAAATGAGAGACGTGCGAGACCGGGCTGAAGTGCGAGAATGGGTCGTATGGACTCACATTGCGGGCCTTCGCGAACCTTCGACCTTCGAGGTCGCTTAGGCGGGAATGAAGCTTGTAGAGCGCGTTCTGCTTCTGCGCGACTTCCGCGCGCAGACGCTCCGCCTTCGCGGCCTCCTGTACGACGTGCTTGGCCCGGCGGGCTGCGACACGCTCTTGATTGCGTATGAGGGACGTATGAGTGGTGATGTCCGTCTTGAGCTGCTTGCACTTGCGCTGAGCCCTCATGCGAGCCCTGATCAGCTTCCCCATGCGTGCACACGGCCGTGCATGGCCCACTCGA